CCGTGTCCAGTAAGGCTAAGGTTCTGACCCTCTTTGGGTGACACACACAACCCTTTCAGAGACAGATGAGATTGTTCCCTATGAAGTATGTCTTTGCATCACATAAGATTACAAGAATTCCTTGATGCAAGCCAAGCTGTGCATGTATTCTTATTTTACCATGCTGAACTAAGGCTTATAAATTTAAAAAATGACGGAGAAAAAAAGGTGCTTTGCAAACGGAGTAAAATGGATTTATTTATGCAGAAGAGTGTGGCTATGGCTAAAAGCAAACTTGGAACAATTCAGGGACTTTCTGGAGGGAAAATTGAGGTAAGCCATCCCAATTCAAAAAATGCCCTGACTTTTATTCCTTCTCTCACCTTTATTGAAAATAGCCCAGGCCAGGAGTAGGGGGAGGCACAGTCACTGTTATTATTGCATGAAATGAATGTTTCCAGGCCACAGACTCCGGGCTCGGCTCATTCCAACATTTGCCATTAACCTTGGCAGTGGGGTAGAGAAGTAAAATCTTTGGGGACTAGTATTACAAGTGTTATTATTTTATGATGCTTTCTAAACGGACACAGATAATTATGTCAATATGTTTCCAACTACTGAAAGAGCTTTCTAAAGGGTGGGGGGAGAGGGGGGGCACCCAACCACCACCACCATAAAGTCCACAGACAAGAAGGTGGATAATATTTATGATAGGAACTAGCACATGACATTTAAAACCCAGGAAATAAAAGCTCGGGAGATGATAGAAAAATGAAATAATATTGGCCCCAATGCTATGCCATGAAGTGGCAATGAAGATTCAGTTAGCGTCAACATACGGGAGAAGCAGCTAAATGGCATCTCTCTTGAACTTCTTTCTTTCTTGACCTTTTGAAGTTTCCAGGTTCAACTCATTTTCTCCTCATGGTTACATCTGAAGTGGGTGCCAGAGGCCAGAACCAAGGGTTCAGCAGAAATAGATTGCTCATCACAACGTGTAGGAATGAAATCAGAAGGGACTAATAGCCCTTTGGTTAATTAATCCTTACTAATCAGATGATGGTCTTCGTTCATGAAAATATTGTTCCATTTCATAAAGAAAATGTCTAAAATTCCACAGGAGGTGGAATTTCTGGCCCCCACAAACAGGTTAGATTTGTAAAGTAACTGTTCAATATGCCAATCTGAGAATGCAAGAGAGCCCATCTTGTCATCTAATGCAGATTATATGGAAGGGGAACATGATGAAAATGTCACATTTTAAACCAGTAAATATAGGAGCACATTTTCAGGAAGGGGTAGGAGTGTGGTGTGTGTGTGTGTGTGGGGGGTGTGTATGCATGAGAGTGTATGTGCAACACAGTCTGCAGAGCAATTAGCAATCTTTCTTGCTGTTTAATTCCACACCCTGTTAACAAGTGAAACGGAATGTGCCGTAGTTAGGAGTTTTTTCTAAAGGAGCCAAGTTTGTCATTTCAACTGTAAACTGCATGTCTCCTATTAAACGGGATAATTTTATAAGACATGGAAAATGATTGAAACTGATATCAGTGGTTGACTGAGCACAGCATTTTAAAAAAGACGGCTTGGGGCCTCAAATTCCCTCTATCACTGAAAGGCTAAGGGATGCGTGTTTTCCCTCTGATTTGTCACATGCCAAACTTTGCTGCGGATCCAGAAATGGGTGGTTGATAAAGTAAATTGACTATCACTCTGCCTTTTGGCCTTACCATGAAAATTTACTCAAAGTGGAATTCTGATCAAGCTATGATAGGTGCCACTTTGAAAGGAGAAATAAGACCAGTTTCTCTTTAAATCATTAACTTCCTTATGGGAGCACTAATACAGTTTTCTTTTCAGTTGAGGAAGGTGGATTCTAACTCTTCTGCTTATTTGTGGTGCTGCTTTGCCCACCAGTAAACAGAGGAAGGTCCATGGAAAGCAAAGTCCTGAAGGAAATTTCTTGAATAGAAGCATTAAGAATACCCTCACTCTTTGGGGGACTGCCCTTGCTTTGGTCCAATTTTCAAATGTTCCCTGAACACAAGGAGCATTAGTCTTTAGCGTATAAGAATTATTTACATCTTGAGTATATTTATGTGACAACCTTTACAAATGACTTTTCAAACAGTGCATTCTCTCTCTCTCTCTCTCTGTTTTCCTTTCCATCAAGCATCCTACTACTATTGGCTTCTTAAAAGTACGCTCAGAACTAAACAACTCAAGAGTTGCTTTAGTAGAACACTGTCTGGACAGCAACTAGTTCTACATAATAGTCAAAATAAAGTGATTTCCCAGAGTAAGGACTTCTCTTTCAAGTTGTTATAGACTTAGCAAGCAAATATTCTGGGGAGGGTACTATAAAAAAAGACTGTGGTGCTTTCACTAAATGACTGCATCTTCAGGAGCTTAACGAATGAATTCCAGACAGCAGAAATCCAAGAGTCTTGGGTGCAGAGGTTTACCCAGAGTCTTGAGGATCTCTAAGACACAACAAATTAAAAAGCAAAATTGTTGCTTTTTAATAATAATAACTAGGTATACAGGCTCTATGTTGCAAGGGAGAAAGATGAATGAGGTTGAATAGCAGATTATAGCACAGATTCTAGAGAACATTAGCCAGTGCCTTTAAAATTATTGGCTTATTTGTGGCAGTCAGGGGTACCTTAAAGCCCCTGTGGGTGGTGTGAGAAAGGTGAACTGACACAAGTCATATCTGAGGGCCTCGAGAGGACTCACTCCTCGTTTTTTAGAAGGACTTTTCATCAACTGTAAACCCTCTGCTGATCCCAAAAAACAGAAAATACCAAAGGTGATTTAAAATCCTATGATTGGGCATGAAACAGCTAGCTTTCAAATCTGCAAAAAGCAGAATTACAGATTAGTATGATTAGCATCATTATTGAATAAAAGAGTGAGAGAGAGCTCTAGAATTTCATTCATCCATGGAATACAGGGCAGTGGCAAAACACTCCGGACATGAAGATTATAGGGGGAAGTCACCCTCAGAGAGCATCCTTTAAAGACATCGAGCCTCTTTCAGTGGAAGAATCTCTCTCTCTCTCTCTCTCTCTCTCTCTCTCTCTCTCTCTCTCTCTCTCACACACACACACACACACACACACACGCACGCGCACGCACGCACACTTACTCACATATGAAATCCCTGCAAAGCTGGATACACTTGAGGAGCGGCAATAATCAGGGGGAATCTTCAGCGGTGTTTAGCATGAAAGACAAGGCTCATTTTGCATTCAGTGAGGGGCAGCAAGAGGAGGTTGAATGGATGGAAAAAATCCCACTCTCAACTCTTACATAAATACCCCCACCCCCACCCCCACACAGTTTTCCAGTTGACAAGCTCTTCTAATGAAGCTGGAGGTGACAGCCCGGAAGGGTTGGTAACCATTGAGATGGCTGTCAGGAGCATGGTAAAGAGGGCAAGCGCTTCTGTATGATCCCAACTACCCTCCTGCCCCTCTGAGCGCCTTCACTGGAGTGTCCGGAGAAGAACCAAATGCTTTATCTCTCTTTCCCTGCCTCCTCTCACCCCTACCACCCGCCCACTGGTGCTGGGAGTCCCACCAGGGCCATGGAGAGCAGCGGGCAGATCTGGTTAGCAGCCTGGGCAGGCGCAGCTGAGCGGTTGCCTGATGGTGCCTCTTCAAAGGGGGAAACTCTTGTGGAATCTTCAGGAAAGGATGGCAAAGTTGAAAGAAACCTTTCTCCCTCCTGCTCCCTGGGTTATAAGCTGCCAGCCTGATTTTCCATTAAGGACGATTGCGGAGCGTTGGCAACAATAAACAATTAATGTTGTTTGATTTCTTACATTTAGCAAGCCAAGCAAACAGCTGCCATCTCAGCTCGCAGAGGCAAATGGCTAGTCATGGATTTGCCACCGGCTCAGTGCCTACAGGGGAGGATCAAGGATGATGAAACTTTGAGGTTTGGGGAAGCCTGGGTCAGCGAAGGCTTGGGCTCAGGGGAGGGAACGAGCGGAGGGCATGGTGGGTACCTGTTGGCCCCAGATTTGGAAATGGCACGTCTGCCCTGTCTGGCAGCCTTAGCTGGCAGGGAGAGCAGGAGCCAGGAGTGGATCTCTGCGGAACCTGTTACGCGCAGGAAGGACCCAGGAGCACGAGACCGCTTTCCCTTCGGCGCGCGCCCTGCACCCCTGGGTTTCGCAGATGGGGTGCGGCGAGATGACCGAAAACGCAGCCTGGGGCTCTGCGGATGCCAGGCGAGAGGGGACGGAGCCTCCGCGTCCGGGAGCCTCAGTGACCGCAATTTAGCGGGTTCCAAGAAGACACTGCCTAGGAAGGTCAGCCCGGGTGGGAAGCGGCGGCGGCTCGGCCAGGGCTGTTGGCAAGGCGCTGCCAAGTTTGCCGGCAGCGAGCTCCGCGCCTCCGGGGCTGGGCAGCCACTTGTGGGAAAGACTCGCGCGGGGGACTCTCGCTGCGGAGGCTGGGGCCGCAGCCCCGCCGCGTGGGGTGCCCTCCCTCGCCTCTAAGGAGCAGGCTGCCCAAACCCAGCAGGATGGCCCCCCAACTCCCGGCCACCTCTCCTCTGGGGCTGGTACCCTCCTCCCCAGCAGCGCCAGGTGCTTGGGCATTCTCCGCACGGACCCCGCAGTGGAGACGCGCGGCTGTTGCGGCGCCTGCCCGCTCGGGGCAGCGGCGAAGGCGGCCGGTGGCCGCGAGGAGGAGACCCGCAGACAAACTGGAGGGGGCCAGGCTGGAACAGGCGATTCCCCAGGATCTGCGGTCAGGGCAGGTGGGCAAAACGCCCCGGCGGCGAACAGCCCTGATGGCGCGTTCCTTGAGCCCGGGCGCTGGCGAGAGAACCTGCCGTTTCCCCAAGCGCCCGGACTGAGGACCCGCATTCACCATCTAGGGGCAGAAGGCGGCACGCGCAAGGGGTCCGAGAGGCGTGGGAATTCTTGAAAGAAACGGTCCCTCCCGTCGCCTCCGGGCCTGGCGAAGCATTCCCGGGGGTGGGGGATGTCGGGGGGCAAGACTTACTCTTGGGGAGTCTCCGTTCTCGTGAATGTCAAGCCTC